CTCATCTTCCAGGGTAATACCCTGATAAAGCAAGTATGAAGCAAGGCAGATGGGGAAGGAAGGAAATTACTTTACCTGTACACTCTTACATATGGAAGCAGGTGGCCAAGCTCACTGTGGAGCTGGCATTCTGAAGAGACACCACAGACCTGGACCAGGGCAAACAGGTAAAAGGAACTGACTGCAAGCAGATCAAGCAGGTCCCTCTCCTTCACTGCTAGACAGCTTTCTTCAAGACCGCTGATATTATGCAAACCCATTACAACCTCACAGGTTAGAAGTGCTCAACAGCACTTTACCAGACTCTATAAACAACAGCCAGCAAAGCCCCAACTCTTACTATAGCACAGACTACAACTGAATTTGCACACAGGCAATAGCTTTGGGACAAAAAAATCTAAATAGGAAGTCTAGTCAGAAGCTAAAATGAATTTCTAAGAAACACCCACACCTGTAATAGAGCTGACCATATCTACCCTTCCTCAGCAAAAAAAACCTACCTAAGGAAGGTCAACAGACACTCCTGAAAATCTGATCATAACAAGATTTAAGCCCTTGAACTCATTAACATTATGCCCCATCTGAACATCTGAATAAAACAAGCTCTTGCTTTCTGCCTAAACACTACTTAGGCTGGGGGTATCATCTTGTGTAAAAGGATTCCTAAAGGTCTCTTTTAGATGTAATCCAGTTACCCTCCGTGTAACTGAGACTGACTCTGAAGAGGGCGGATGGGTCAGGTCTCTTTGCACCACCTTACGCTTTGCTGTTGCTGTTATCTGGTAGCTTTTCATGCTTGCAGAAATTAAACTGAGACATAATTTCTTACAATACTAGATACGAGTAACTGCAAGTTTTATAACTGTACAATTGACTGTGAGAATGAAGACCTAGGGCCCACTGCAGGAGAGGATCTGGTTCGAGACAATCTTAAGAACCTGAACATGCACAAGCCCATGGGCCCTGATGAAATCCATCCGCAGGTCCTGAAGGAGCTGGTGAATGAAGTTGCTAAGACCCTGCCCATCATATTTGAGAAATCATGGCAGTCAGGTGAAGCTCCTGATGACTGGAAAAAGGGAAATATAACCCCCATTTTCAAGAAGGGGAAAATGGATGACCCGGGGAATTGCAGACCAGTCAGTCTCACCTCTGTGCCTGGAGAGCAGTAACAAGTGGCATCCCTCAGGGATCGGTGTTGGGACCGGTCTTGTTTAACATCTTTCTCAGCAACATGGACAGTGGGATTGAGTGAGCCCTCAGCAAGTTTGGGGATGACACCAAGCTGTGTGGTTCGGTTGATATGCTGGAGGGAAGGAATGCCATCCAGAGGGACCTTGCCACGCTTGTGAGGTGGGCTGATGCCAACCTTATAAAGTTTAACCATGCCAAGTGCAAGGTCCTTCACCTGGGTCGGAGCAATCCCAGGCACAGCTACAGGTTGGGCAGAGAAGAGATTCAAAGTAGCCCTGCAGAGAAGGACTTGGGGGTGCTGGTCGATGAGAAAACGAACATGAGCCGGCTTCAGTGTGCACTCGCAGCACAGAAAGCCAACTGTATCCTGGGCTGCATCAAAAGGAGCATGACCAGCAGGTTGAAGGAGGTGATCCTGCCCCTTTACTCTGCTCTCATGAGACCTCACCTGGAGTATTGTGTGCAGTTCTGGTGTCCTCAACATAAAAAGGACATGGAACTGTTGGAACAAGTCCAGAGGAGGCCATGAGGATGATCAGGGGACTGGAGCACCTCCCGTATGAAGACAGGCTGAGGAAGTTGGAGCTGTTCAGCCTGGAGAAGAGAAGGCTGCGTGGAGACCTCATAGCAGCCTTCCAGTATCTGAAGGGGGCTTATAACGATGCTGGGGAGAGACTCTTCATTAGGGACTGTAGTCGTAGGACAAAGGATAATGGGTTAAAACTTAAACAGGGGAAGTTTAGATTGGATACAAGGAAGAAATTCTTTACTGTGAGGGTGGTGAGGCACTGGAATGGGTTGCCCAGGGGGGCTGTGACTGCTTTGTCCCTGGTGGTGTTCAAGGCCAGGTTGGACGAAGCCTTGGGTGACATGGTTTAGTGTGAGGTACCCCTGCCCATGGCAGGGGGGTTAGAACTAGGTGATCTTAAGGTCCTTTCCAATCCTAACTATTCTATGATTCTAATCTCACCCCAGAGGAAAGCTCATTCCACTTAGGCAGATATAACAGCAGTCAGATGCACTAAGTGACCCTGAATTGCCTCCTGCTCCTTGGCAGCTTATTACATTGTTCATTCAATCACTTTACACTGTTAGTTCTTATCCTAAATGCGTCCACATGCAGTTGAAGTGTTTTGATTCTCACTCTGGGCACGGGTAGTACATCAGACAGAAAGTAAATTAGAACACAAGGAATCTCTACTCTGAGGTTCAGATTTCTTACTCCTGATTGAGCTCAAGGCTATTCTCAGATCCATGCAGTGCAGTACAGCTGTCTGTCACTGTACAGCAGAGCCATCATGGCTGTGCTGCACTCCCCAGCAGCTCCAAACTCCATCACAGCAAGGGAACAGAACAGAGATTCTTCGCAGCAAGCATGCTGGCTACTCGATGAGTCACGGGAGCCAGTGCTGGCAAGAGGCCGGCTGCAAGCACAAACAAGTAGCTCAGATTTCATCAAATGAAAGGCAGAACACAGCCAAGAGACCTTCTAATATGTACTACAATAATTTGCTGCTGGGGATAATGGGAGAAATCAGTACTTCAGCTCCTTCCTGGCTGTATCTGCTAACAGAACCAGGCATCCTTCTATCGGTCCAGGGATTACAAGAAAACAGAAATCACAATACAAGCCATAATCTGTTTCCACTTGAACATCAACAACTCTGATAACCCCTGTTTCGTTTGCATTAAGAGATTAGTTAAAGTATATCCCTTGAGGGAAAGCCCCACATAAGTACAACCTTTCTGCATGTCATTTTCGTAATCTGCACACCAGAGAAGAGACCTTAAATGCCCCGCTGCAAACTCAACGCACATTAATTCACTCACCCATTTTGTTCAACTTTATTTGAAACTGAGTAACAAAGCTTGACCCTCACTGATTACTCATTAGCTAAAGGAAATTCAGCTGCATCAAGCCTGAAAGGAAAACAAGTCTAATTTGTATCTTAAGATAAAAATGGCAGTTTAGATGCAGAAGCTAAAATTAGTAGGCTTCAATTAAACCTTCAGAAGAGAGACTTTTCCCTTTCCTTTAGCATTACCAGCAAAAGAAAGTACTGGTTAAGAGTGAGCAAATGTGAACTTATTTCTCCAATACAGTATCTTCTACAAAGCAGAAGCTGAGTGCAGAGCCTTGCAAGAGAGACATTGCAGACACTGCTGCCAGTTTCATTCCATTAGATTTGGAAAGTTTATCAAAAAAAAAAAGGCAGGTTAAGCCTACTACAACCAATGAAAGCACACAACATACACCAAGACTGACCATACTTAATCGCTATTTTAAGATCTTAAGAGCATAGAAGTTCCAAGAAGTGTACTAAGTTAGCCTCCAGTTTGGCACCATGAGAAGTCTTGCCTTCAGCAGTGGTTTGATAGGGCCCAGGGCAGAGACTTTCAGCACTGTGGCTGAGCTGCTCAGCACCTGCCCTGTGTGAAGGGTCCTCCAGTCTCTTCCAATGGCCCAGCTGACATTACTCCAACAAAAGCCCAACTCCGCAGCACGCTTGGTCACCCTTGTTTTAAAGAGACAGTAAAGTGTGCAAGTGGCTTCTAAATACGTAACTACATTTATTTCCAATTTGGTCTTAAGTCTCCTCATGTATGCTCACACTCCCAGTTTATTAATCCCTCCAGACAGTGAATAAATTTGCTGCTAAAATACTTGCAAGATAAAAAACAGCTGCCCTATTTGGTCACCCTTGAAGGCCCATGGTTAAAGAAAATTAAACACATAGGCTTGAAGCTACACCGTGTATTTGTAAATAAAATAATTTGAAAGAACAAGATCACAAAGTATGAAACGAGCCCTTTCAGGAATTTAAGTACAAGAGAAGTCACTGTTAAGTCCATTTTGTAAAGTTTTAAACTAATATCACTGAGGGATAGGAGTAATACCATAAAACACCTTTTTTTAAAGCTTTCTCAAAAAGTTTGGACCACATACATCAGTTTCAGATGATAACTCCCACATGTACAAGTTGGTTTGGTTACAGCTTCAGGGATCAGTGTGGCACAGTGCAAGTTTCATTCACAGATAAAAAGATATTTGAAGTAGGTACAAGAACATCCTGCAAAATACAGGATATGATCTCTCGGCAACCCTCTTCCCACCCCCTAGAAAGTGCTGAAAAGTAAGCACAATATATAGAAACACAGGGAAAGTACACAGAGACAGACCCTTTAACAAGACAGGTTAATATTTGATAGCTTAAGAAACAATTGCACATGGAAGAAAATACCTGTTAAGTCATCAGAAGCTATGTATAAGAGAGGTTTGTACTTTGATTCTGTATAAAAACTTAGGCTTACAAGTCTCCAGTCCTGAAATATAAATATTGAGAGGTACAAAAAGTAAGCACTATTAACTGGAAGTGCCTTCTCAGAACAGCCCGTCTTCCCCTGCTGCAAGTCACCATTCCCTCATCTTTCAAGGAATAAGTGAATGTAACTACTCATTTCAGCTACTTTTTCAGTGTATACAATTATTTATTGCTTCTCTGGTAATTTTACAGTCTTCCTCATCCCTAGCTCTCCCCTTTTTACGTGTATTTCAAAGTAGATCAAGTGCTCTTGAGTGCTTTTTAAAAAACCTTACTTTTAGAAATTGCTCAAGCTAAAAATATTAATGCAGTTTTCACCTGAAGTGATGTCCTGCAGACTATTCATGCAGAGTGCCTCCCTAAAGATACTAAGTGCATCTTCAGCTACCAGAAATCTCAGACGGCTACAGCTCTGAAGTGCTCTGCTCTTTTTTATATATAGACTGAGATTTACAGCATACAGAAAGGGAGACTAGTGCAATATGCAGCATTGATTGTTTATTCAATAAATATTTAACCCAATTATTGCCAACCAAGGCAAACAGTGCAGAAATTGTCACTCGGAGATATAAAAGTGTAACTTTTTATAAAGTCAGTTGTACATTCATACAACTATTTCAAAGAGGTTTTTCTGCTTCAAAATTGACACTACCATTATAAAAATATAGAAACATAGTATTTGGGGGTTTAACATGTCTTTGCAAATCTAACTTTGACATTTATATGGGAACATGACATTTCTGTATACAAGAACTTATTAAAAATAAAAAAGAATATTATCACAGATATTTTCTGCACTGACGACTTCATTACAGTTCTTAAATACATCTTTCTTGGTCCTGGGTATACATTTAGAATGAAATAACAAGCATCTCACATTTATCCTGAGGTCAGCTGTGTAAAAAGGAAAGCCAATTTTTGTAAGGATACTTGCAGGCTTTTTGTTCAAAATAATGAGGCTCTTTCTAAACAAGCCAATAAAACTCCTGGGGGATGGGGGGAAACCTGACCCTCTCCTCAATGTTTTAAGAAAAAATTTAGTATTATTTTAGGGAGCTATTTCCAAAAATATATAGGCTATCACATCCAAATGCTCTATCACCCAGCTAATGCATTTGCCAAATTTGAAACTTAGAAACTGCTCTGAAAATAAAATATATAAATCCCCATGAAGAGCCACACTAAGCTTCTCATCTCAAGATCCTGAACCTGCAATGCAACTCCTGCTAGGAGAACCCTGCTGCAGCCTGTGGGAATCAACGGAGTCTTGGGGTCTGCCTGCACAGGTGAGAATGTGTGATTTGGGTCTTCATCACCCACCACTGGGTACAGTTATGACCTTATCAAAGCTCCACTTTGAACACAGCAGTTATTTTCAATAGCACCAACAATCTCTCAGATATCGGCATCAGGCAAATACAGACAACACAATAGATGTGTTTCTTCCTGAATCAGCACAATTGGTACAAGGCACTGCTTGGCATAGGAAGTCATAAATAAGAGCAAAACAAGACAATTTCCAAGTTTTGTGACATTTAGGATTGCATGTTATGTCACATTTCAACTCATTATATACCATGGTTAGATAAACACAAGATGGTCTAAGGGATTAACCAAAACATCGCTGTTCCATGTATGCTTAGTCTTCCTCTCCATATCTGGAAAAAAATCCCACTTAACAACATAGCAATATGAAGCATTAGGAAGTATGGGTTGTTAAATTAAGAAAGTACATTTTATTCTCCAATCTTCCACAAAAGTCTAACCTAGACACAAGTATAAGAAGTTGGAAAATATTCTGATAACATTTGCAACAGCCTATCCCTGCAGAGGAGTGAAAAAACTATTGTCTAGAGAATTCATAGATTGAGGCACATTGTAATTGAAGATATTCAGGCATATTTTATGGCTAGAACAGGATTTTTTTTCTGAGGAACCTCACTACAGACTTCCCCAAAAGCAGCTCCATATGGTTTGAAACGAATTGCAACACATGGGAAAAAAAAAAACATCTGGTCCTCAGTCGCTACTGTCTTCATCCTCATCGTCATCAGATACATCATTTAGAGATGATTTAGGCGACTGGCTGTAGGAGTCTGATCTAGTGGACTGGCAAGCAGTCATCTCCCCAGTAGAAAGAAGATCATAGCAGAAGTCGCAAATCCGCACAGGCTTGGAGGACTGGCTTGGGAGCAGGAACCTCTTTTCAGAGCAAGGCCCGCACACGACAAAGCCGCACTTGCGACAGTGGTGACGACGGTTGACGGGCGTGAATTTTGCTTTCTGACAGCGCATGCACACAGTGGCTTCTGAGTCCGGTACCCAGACAGCTGCATGTTCATTGCTAGGAGTCTTCCCGCTTTTGGAAAGCAAATCAGAAACACACTTATTAATGTGGTTCATCCACTCAGACTTTTCTGTAGCGGTGGCAGCATAAACCGCAAAAGACTTTGTTGGTGTTTTGATAAGCCACCCGTTCCGTAAGTCTCCCTCATCCTGGATGGAATCAATAGTGACATTTTCTAGTGGGATTATGTGCTGTTTATTGTATTTCTTCTTCTGGATGACTATATTGCCATAAACAAGAATGTCATTGAACAGGAAGAACTGCCTTGCTTTTGGCTTCTTCCTACACAGCTTTGTTAGTACTCCCTCTCCAATCAGAACACGACCAGGAATAGTCAGGGGTTGACCAGCTGCTCCAAAGCAGTTTTCCACTATACTTATTCTTCTAGTGTTTGCCTCACTGTTTGCCAAGCGATCCACCATCTTTCACAAGTATCCTAAAATCAGAAAAAAAAAAAGTTTGTTATTAGAACAGGACAGATTCAACAGCGCCTTCCCCAAGGAAGGTACCAACCTGCATTTCTTAAAACACCTCACAGACCCTGCTGGCTCAGACGCACTGACTTGGGCTGGATTTAAATAAGTATTAACACTTTAAATACTTATTTAAATAAGTATTAACACTAAAAATTAAAGAATTTTTAGCAACAGATTAGTCTTTTCTTTTTTAAAGCAAAAATGTTCCATCCAGCCGACAGCTATCTTTATCACACAGACAGCACCTGCAGCACTGCACTTGAGAGCTTCTGGCAACAGATGAGAGGTTTCCTCTCCTGTAACATTACTGCATCCTGGTTTAATGTTGTATTTCTCCATATGTTCTATATATCCTTCTGCACCTACTCTGGATGGCAAAAGAAAGTATCATCCATCATTCTAAATTCTAATGACGGAAACATCAACTTAACTGAGTAGCTTGGAGATTCATGTTAGCATTGACACAGCAAACAAAAAATGTACAACTGATATTCACATAGGAAACCACCACAGCCAAGCTCAGTATTGCTCTTTTTTCAGTATGTAAACCTTAAATCATGGGTTAAAACCGTGAATTTACCTACTAAAATCATTTTGTATAGGCCCCAGCTTGCAGCCCCCACCACCTCCTTTCATGACAAACACTGAGCAGAGAGCAGGTCATGGTTGGTGGTCCACCATGCACTTGCTGCTGATGCCTTTTTGCAGGAGCCCCAGTCCCTCACTCCTCACATACTCAAACCACATCTGCAGCCACTATGAGGAGGTGATGTACAGAGGTAGACCAGCACAGAGGACAAGCCACATAGCTCACTATGCTCTCAAGAAACACTAAGCCATCTGCACCAGATGAAAGTCTAGGCAAGAAACCTTCACATTTTAGGAAGTACTGATGAACAAAAGAGTACGTATGTTCCAGTTACGGATTAAAACCATCCCTTGCCATTCCCCAAGTAGCAAGTAAGATTTTCCTCTTATAAGGGTAAGATTCCTAAGGCATCCAACAGGGAACTGAAAATAAGACGTCATTATAGTGATTCACACCTCAGCAAACCACCCTTTTGCCTATCTTTTACCCTAGAGCTAACCAGGCAGAAGTCAGGCAAAGGAAACTCCTGCCAGATCTGCTCCACAAGCTCCTCCTGAGTACGGACATGAACCTGAACCATGAATTTAGAGAGCAAAGAGACAGCTGGCAGAGACAAGTACTAAGGACAGACCTCTCAGCACTTCCTTTCCAGCTACTGCATAGCTGACGCTCACAGCACCGTCTGGTACAACCACTGCTTTGAACAGGCCTGAAGGAGAGCACAGTAGAAAATACTGCAGCGCCTACTGTCTGTGCTTCCCAGCACAACCCCCATTTGAGAAGTCCTCAAAGTCCACCTACCTTTTCTTTTAGATTCACATTGTCTGTCACCAATAAAGTATCAGCCTGTAACTGAGATGAAACTGGGCTGAATCAAGGCTCAAAACTGATGCTGCTCAAGACTCTCTGCTCTGCCATAGCCTGAACCAGGCAATCTTCCCCTGAATCACATCTCAGATACTCCCTTACAAAACCGGGATAGAAATCTGGTGGCAGAAAAACCTCTCATCAGGCTTTATCTAAATCAGTATGTTAACTGTGCTGACACAAATGCACATGGCCAATGTTAAGTGTGATTAAAAGATAATTTATAAGTTACTGCTTTGAGAGTTTAATTAGTTCCACACTAAAACAGTCTGACATGAGGGCTCGTTCAAATACGACTAAACTGACATTTTTTAAGCTCTGCACACAACATCACCTTGTATCAAAGTCTGACACTGAAGACAGGAGAATCTATTAAAGATATTATATATTATCCAGCACTACTTTCAGATTTTGTGCCTTACAGTATTACTTACTGTGTGTGAGTAAAAAAAAAATAAAACCAGTTTTATGGTGAGTGGAATTACAAAGCCACCAAATTTGAAATTATTTTGATCTGCAGAAAGTCTAGACAAAACACAAACTGCCTTCTAAAAACGGTTCAAGAGATGTAATTGCATTGCATCCAGGTACACAGGCAAGTACACCTATGCTATTTCTACCAGGTATCAGTCAAAATAAAACCACGCCGACCTCCATTACTCTGTCCAGTGGCTTGCCATTTGATCAATTATAAAGTATTTTCTTAACAGTAAGTTTAAATCATCTTTGCTGCAAAACATTTTGTTCTTTAATCAGAACAATAATTACTACTGACTTTATTCACCTGTCTGAGGACTGAAATGCTTGTCACCTCTAGAGATAAGATTGGAAGTCCAAGTAGAAGTTAATAAATAAATAAACAAACCCCTGTTATTTCCATCTCATTCACCAGCCCTACTTTTCTGAATCATCACTCCTGTGAAAGCTCTTGAAGCTTTGTCCATCATTCCCTTTAAAAGAGGCCCATAAGTGGACAGTGAACTAAAACCCTAAATCCTTCCGCAACAAACAGCATAAATCAGTATCATCACAGAAGGAAACAAAGCAGAACCACATCAGCTATCAGCCTCCCTCCTTGCTCTCTTGTGCCACTACAGAAGCTACACAGAGAATTAAATCAGAGCTGGTCATCAGCTCTGAGTTTTGATGAGCTCATCAGTTGAGTTTTAGGGCTCAGGTTGGCAGGATAGCTGCAGTGGAGGGATATCATGGAGGGATGGGAGCGAAGATGCTTAGGCAAGTCCTGAATAGAAAGTACATTGGCTTAAACTGATCAGTAAACAGAAGTAATGACAGTATCTTTTTTCTCCCAGAGAACAGCAGAAGACTCAAATTACCTCACAATGATCCTTTTTTCTTTCTTTCAAGCATTCCAAGCACCCATACTTATATACAGACAGGGACATGCAATACTCCCCCACCTCTACATGTTTTATTTGGCATTAAGTTCTACCAAATTTTTTTCCCCTCTCCTATTTTTTTTTAAATATACACCTTCCAACTACCTACTACCACATGGCAAAGGGTAAAACACTTCAGAGTGAGTTTTTTGGTTAAGTGACTGGATTCACTTCTACTACAGCCCTGTCTAATGCAGAGGTGCCACTCTGCAGAAATGCTGCTTGCTTGTCCCAGCTCTTACCTGTCTATGAAGGAGAAAGTACTAAGGAGGGAATACAAAAGATAAAACTAGGAGCTTTCTGATGTGCATTTGCTACAGTCCTAGGCTCAAAACTCAAACTTCAGGTGCTTGGCTGCCAAAGCCCAGGATTTGGAATGAGGGTTATTGTCATTAACTGCCAAATAACCATTCCCACCTGACAACATACTCGCAATAAACAGCCTTTGCAAGCACCAAAGCTGAACCTACAGCTGCTTGGGACTCGGAAAACAAGGTATCTGTCACAGAGTCAGCCTGAAGTTATTTAGTAATACCATGTTCCCTGCGAAGCGGGGAAGGAAACCAGTCAGCAGAGTGCAAAGGGGACAGACCAGAATAATACACTTTTCTGCAGGTTTAAATCAATATGCACAACTTCTAAGCTTACACTTTTTAATGAATTATCTGCAAATTACAGCAAGTTAAATGCCTTTGCTTGTCAACAAGGAGGAACTCCCCTGCCTCCCCCTCCACCAAAAAAAAATACCCACAATCATACTGATCATTCTTAGTGAAGCAAGTTCTTGGTGTGAATTTACAGCGACCTGGAGGAAGCACTCGCTGCTCCACAACTCCAACTCTGCACTCCCTGCCAATAAATAGCAAACTGCGCAAGGTCACCATGAAAGCTTTCAAAATACAAGTCACTGGCAGAAGAAAACGGGGAGAAAAGGCTAAAAGGTTTTAATTAACTGCTCTCTAGGATGGTCTAAGAGAAAACAACTCTCCAGGATCATTTAAGAATCATAATGGCCTGAAACCAAGATACATGACTCCAGAGCTTGTACTGAAGACTGTACTTCCAGCCTGTTGCTGAAAATGATCACTTACTGGACCTGAAGCAAGAATGTGTGGCAAGTTCAGGACTATTAGGAAAGACAAAATAATCGCATCTCTTCTACACTGAAACTTCTGTCTGGAACATCCAACAAACTCTCACCTACCAGCCTCAATTAATGTAGCAAAAGCCACAGACTGCTGATGGATTATTCCACCTTTCCAGGGCATGGGCTGTATTTTCCTGCACCAATAGATTAGACTTTATAAAATGAGCACTCTGACATTTTTCTAAAGTTTTTAGAGAACTAAATATTAAAAATCCATCTGAAATCCTATGCACACTAATGCTCATTCATCTTCACTTGCCTCTTCTGAGAAAAGAAGTATGTCTAGAAATAGATAACTAGAAACTACTTGGAAAGCATCATGATTAGAAATAATAATGGAACATGGAAAAAAAAAGTAGATCAGAAACACAAAAGAGAAGCTATCCCCAAGTCACAAGAATGAGCTAAAGTTACAAGAAGAGGTGCACCTCTTCTCATCAGGAACTGTTACATTAAAATACTGTCTGGACGCACAAAGGAATATTCAAGCCCAAGATATAATTGATAACCTTACACAGCTTTTGGACTGACAAGTCTTTTAGAATTACAAACTTTTCTTAAAGCATATTCAGATATATTCTAAAAGATAAAGGATCTGGGACGAACTGGGTGGCAATATCCTCCTCTCTGCCAGCTAAAACTTTTTTCTGAGCTTTCTACTGCAGGCCACTATAAAAAGCAGTTACTGGATTACGGTCCTCAAGATGCAGAATCTAAAGACCTGATCAAACAAAGCAAGTCCCAGATGATGGCAAATTGCTGAAAACATGTCCCAGATCTTCCCAGAAGCGAGTAAGGAATTAAAGCAGAACCGTGGGCTTCAAAATGACACACTACACAGCCCCACTTCAGGGGAAAGTGGGAGCACCTTACAAATATTTTTGGTTTATGGATGTTATGAAGTAAAAACCCTCAAACTTACTGTTCAGACTTTTTAGCACATTTTATTCCAGTTTC